AGGGATTCAGCCATTGTATCAGGTATCTGACTTCAGGCTAACATTTTAATCTCAATCATTGTTACAGTGTTTGTCATTCAAAAGCTCTGAGAGATAACGATGAAGGTTAATTCATGCAGAACAGAGACTCAGTTCCTTGTGGATAAGTATGGTTGGCTATCAGAGAACTGCAAAATATGCTAATGGAATTATTGTTTACTTTAGCACATTAGGCAAGTTACACTTGTTTGGGTAATTGTTTTTAGGTTTTGTATTTTGGATTTATTTTTTGTTTTATGTTGTTTTCATAGCTGCTCCACTGACCATAGAAGGACTGAATTTTTTTTCTCTGTTGTAAGCAAACCCACAGATTTTATTAGAACCTTTTGGAAATATTTTACAACAGCAGATTGACAAACTCTTCTAGGGAGATTTGGTTTAAAGAACAAATAGCTGTCCTTCTTTGGCATTTTCCAGTTTGCTAAGTTATTGTCCTTTTCTGACACTTTTTCATAAGCAGACCTGATTCATCTCCACATTAAACACATGCAATTTCTTCACCAAAGCTTGAATTTTAACTAGGAACAGTGAACTTGTAATCAGGTTTGTTAGATAATGTTCAGACATACTGAACCACACTAAGAAATCCTCTTAATGGGACTCTGACCTGGTCAAAAATACCTTGCTGCTTGGAACAGGCGAACAAAAGTGGTCCATGATCAGAGTCTTCCCAATACCTGGACTATGTAAGGAGTCTGTGATTAGGATATGTGTATAAAATGGAACAATAGAATATGCAGTATATAACTACATCCCTTCAGCCACAGAGTGTGTTGCAACAGGTTGGAACCAGAGTGCAAGAAACTGCTTCTGCCACAGTGAGTGCTTTTCTTAACTCCTGTCACTGAGGTCAGGTGCTGTTTGTAACACAGAGGTTAATTGCACAATGGAAACATTAATTCTATTGCTGCGGACACTTTAAAGTCAGGCAGTGTAGTTATTTTTTTGTATACTGGCAATATTTCATAGTAGTTGTTAACTTCTCCCAGGTTTACACTTATTTTAAAACCTGTTCTAAATAAAGCACTGGGTTTTTTTTGGCTGTAGCAAGGAAATAGTGTTGGTATAAACCATACACTTAAATATCACCAGAAAAAGGATTATCTTTTCCTTTCCCTTGCCTAATTTAGACATGAAATATTCCTTCCCTTATGCAAACATTGGTAAGCTTGTTTCTCTACTGCTCTTCTGTAACTCTCAACAAAAACTGGCTTTCTTAAGAATGAAATGTAATGACTGTAATTCTGCTTACTCTAATTAGATGACCATGTTAGGAAGCCAATTAGTCATTCCCTTTAGTCTAACTGCAGGCAAATTTTATTGTATAATTGCATACTAATGCACAGCTAGTTATTTTCACCTTGTTTGGTTCACATGTTTGAACTTCCACATCCTGATTATAAAAAGTCCAGGTTTAGTGATCAGGACCTTTTTCTTCAAGAGGGAGAAAGAGCAAGGATTGTGTATTAATCCACAATATGGGAAACAAGCTGGATAGATATCAATGAAATCAGGAGATGCTGATGTTGCTTAGCAGAAAAACTACGTACAGCATTATGAACTTCTTCAGCCCATCTAATGAAGTCAGCCTGTATTAAGGTGTGCAGTAATCATAAAAAAAAAACGCCACCAAACCCAACATTTAATTGTGAAAGGGTTATAAATATGCCAAAAACCTTGCTTTATTTTTTTTTTTAGTAATGAAAGGTTTATTAGAAACCAGCTGAATTTCAGTGTGTGGGGAATTTGATCAGAAGCTACAGGGATGATTGATTGGTATCAGTAATTATATGGTCTGACTAAACACTTTCAGATTACTGATGTTATTGTTTCTTGCATCCAAGTGATTTTATTCTAATTTCTGTGAACAAAGAAGGGAGCAAAATCAAATAATAAAGAAACAAAACCTCAAAACCTTCCCACAAAGGCTCAAGGTTTAATTTTTTTATTTTTTTTTTAATGTTTGGCTACAGATACAGAACACCTTTAATTACTGATTGCTCATAGTACATAGAACTGGCAAGAAGAAAGGTCATTGAAGTTTTCCTACTCTCTCTTGAGTGCTTCTCTATAATAGTCCTAACTTACAGCAGGGAATGTGAGTGGTTGTTCTTAATATTTACAGTTCTGATCTTACTCAAAATGAGTTCTGTCTGCTTTTTACATAGCTGGAAGTACATTTACAAATGAAGATGCTGTGTTCTCTGTTTTCAGCACTGGAGAGGCCAGAAAATCCATTCCAGGGGGCAAGAGGATGAGCTGCAGCTTTGTGATGGTAAAATCTTTTCCTTCTCTCACATTGTATTGTGTAAGAATACAAGAAGGGAATGTACAACCACTAAAAACATAATAAGCTGTGTCTTTCAATGAGAAAGGCAGTATCAAATCATATTCAGAAAACAGGAAATCTTCTGGTCCAAAGCTGCAGGACTGGTAACACACCTGGCAGTTACTGGCAGCTCCAGTATAAATATTTTAGAGGCACCTGATCATGTGGTTAGACAATGAAAGCAATAACAGTGATGCATGTTTGGAGCAGTTACTTAAAACATAAAATATATCTAATATAGAAACTGAATGGAATGTTTTCATTTGTTGACCTAGGGAGTCCAGTAAATTAATAACTTGCATGGGAGTTGGGAATCAGCATATAGACATATAATATGAATACAATATGCAAATAGCCAAGTCTGGCCATTGAACTTAAATGTAATTTGATAAGTCAAAATTGACTCAGAAAGTACTTAATTAAGAGGAAAAAACCCTTGGAATTAAAAAAGATTTAAAATTAACTGGTTCAGGGTGAAAAAGGAGGGAAGGAGGGAAGGAGGGAAGGAGGGAAGGAGGGAAGGAGGGAAGGAGAGGGAAGGAGGGAAGGAAGGAGGGAAGGAATTAGATTTACTGAATGTTTGGAGAAGAGAGTGTCAGCCTGCCAACATTGTCCTATCAATTTCATACCATGAATTACATTTTCTTAGATGAACTAGTGGGGAATGCAAATACTTTCATGCCCTGTAGTGTCTTAAAACATGTTGTATATTAGGTACTCAGGACTGGCATTGAATTGTATTCTTTTTGAAGCTCTCCATCTCTACTCTGCTGAATAATATTTATTGCTATCATAGGCCTTTAGAGGTTAAGATGTATTTCATAACAAAATTATTACTTGCTCTTGGATTTTGGATGAAGGTTTTATTTGTTTAAAAAAAAAATAGATGAGTATCTGCTACAGATTTTCTGGGGTTATCTAGAAAGGCTTACTTTCCTATCAATTTGAATCTTAAGCATCTACCATGAATTTAAACTGGTTCTTAAAGAAGATTAAATTCATTTTTATTGCAAATATGGCTTTTTTCCAGCACCTTTGGGAGAAGAAAGGCAGATGAAAAAGAGAACATGATGTGAGCACTGAAAAGATGAGAGGCACACAAAAAAATGTGAACTGCTGAATTTACTGTCTAGCTATAATGAGGTATTGCTTAACAATTAAGTTAAATTATGCAGCTGTTTCCTAGCATATTGTGCTAGTGCATCTGAGAAATTACAATTTTCTGATTGAAGAACGTTATGTGGAGGAAACTGTAGCATTCCCCATTCCTGCAACAATTCATTTCATGATTAAAAAAGGAAGCCAGTATTTTTGCAGCTGTCAGGAATAGGCAATAAAGGATGACAATCCAAGGGGGCCTGTTAGTCACTGACACAATAAAATAATCCCAAACAAAAGCTGCAGAAGAAAATAAGCTGGGAAGGGTGGCAGTGACTCGCAGACACAGCTCCTGGGTTTCTGTGGTGAAGTGGCTGCAGAGCACAGACTGGCAGAAACAGGTTTGAATATTTCAAAGAGAAGTGATGATACTTCAAAGACAAGTGCTCAAAACTTTCAGGGAACTCTTAACTCAATACTTTAAAGCAAAAATTGCACATCCATTAGGGGTAGGCATCAATTTTAAAAAACAATAAATAAAAAGCAAAAAAACAAACAACAATTCAAACTTCACTAATCAGTAAATCTTAATTATCTTTACATGTTAAAAATAAATTTCCTTGAATGAGGATTAAATGAAAGTTGAAGATTTGTAAAACAAAAATAATATTGAAAACATAAACCCAATGAAGTACACTAGTGTTCCAAATTTTGCATTTGGAATGTGCTCATGGGAAAAATACCTATATTATATGGAGGAGAAATTAAGTATGTTCATTGGAGCAGGTAGCTTAGATTTTATTACTTCATTTTTGAGCAGGTTGAATTCTTGAGACTATTTAAAATTCCAGACTAAAAAAATTATCTATGGATAAATCTGTATTACCCATTGTTTAAACTTATTTATGCAAAAAAAAAAATCACAAACCCAAAAACTGTAGAAGAAAACACATAATAGCTTTTGAGTAAAAATGAAAGCTTTTCAGTTAACATTCATACTTCAGATCATCCTTTTATTCTGATCATCTGTTTTGCATGATTCTTTTGTTTTAGTCAGCATTTCCTTTTAAAAAGGTTGAATTGGGGGAAAATATAATTTTATTTCACATTTTATGCGTCTAAATATCATAAAATGAGGTTGTGTCATGCTTCATGACCATGAATATTTAAACATTTTCTATAAATACAGTTACTTATTTTTGTTTTAATCTTGTGATAAAGCACTGCCTGGAAATGATAATGAAGAAGCCTAAGAAAACACCATTTGGAGTAATTCTTGCTTTTGTTTTTACCAGTTGTTCCACAAAGGCAAAGCAGATTTGGCCTTTTAATTTCTTTGAGTGACCTAATTTTCTAAGCTTCTACTATACTTGCTTTTTATGTTGCTTATTATACTTGAGGAAAAAAAAAAAACATGATCAAGTGAATTTCAAAAGTTTTTTTTTCAATCTTTTCCATTATTTATCTATTTTGTGTTTATGAGGGTGAGACTGATGGCACCATTCTGAGGCAATGCCTGAACAAGAGACCTTACCTCATGGGAACTTTTATCTGATTGAGGAAAAAATCCTTGGTCTGCTCTGAAATATTTGATGTCTTTCCCCTGTGGAAGACCACTGTGAACAACTGACTCCTCTTCAGTGGTTTTCTGTTGTCCCTTTCTCCCTGCAAGCTAAGGAACAACAACATGGTAGGTAGTGGATCAGAGATTTAGCTTGAGTACCCGAACTATGACACAGTGTAAAGCATTCCTTTTGGATGTGTCTGTTTCCTTGGTACATCTTTGAGCTGTCATTGCTTTTATGCACTTTTTCATGAGCCCACCAGCCAGCTTTGTTCTTTTGTTCATGCCCACTTGTGCCTGCTGCAGAGATGGAAGAGGCTTGGGCTTTGCAAGAGCATGCACTTGGAAAAGAGGGAAGAGCTGAGGGGGAGTACACTAAAATAAAGCCAGGTATTGCTGCTCTTAGGCGTTGCATGTGGAATTAAATCAGAATGGAAAAAATCAGCTATTGCTACAGGAGCAAACCAGGGAAACATTAAATTAGTCTGTAATTCTGAAGTACTTTTTCTTGTCAAAATTCCCCTTTCTCTTTTCTACTAAACAGCTAGTTTATCTGGAAATCTGGAGCTAGTTTGGTGAGGATATCCTAAGTATGGAAATGCCAAAGTGGACAAGGAAACAACACCATCCTTGCTGTCATAGCTCTCACGCTTCCAGTGACAGTATGGACTTTGTGTTACATGTGTGTTTCAGAGCAGGCTTTAGACCCGTGGCTGTATATTAAACTCTCACAGCTGTCACTGCTTGTCTGCTATGAAAATGCCTTTTGCCTGTGAGGCTGTCACCTCTGTGAAGCCAGGTTCTTCCAAACGATGGAACTCTGGATGGAGTTGAACAGAATGGAGCTGAATAGAAAAAGAATGGAGTTGAATAGAACGAATAATTACGTGAGATGCACTTTCCTATAGGAAGTGATGAGAACAAGTGTTACCACTGCATTGAACCATACAACAACCATAGAGATGTCACTCATGGTGTCTCTTGTATAAATGTACCTTTTTATTTAGACACCTGAATAGACAGAAATGTCTATAGAATGTTCATAACCAGGTTCTAAACGTAATGCAGCATGTGTGTTGATATTATAAAAAGCATAGGTAAAGGAAACTCTATGTGATAAGTTCAATTCTGAGTTTTATAAATATTGCAATATTTTACTAATTACTTGTGTTGTGGCCATATAATAACCACATAGAATTTATGCTTCTCAAAATGTGAGGTTACCACAAAAGTTGTCACAGACTCTTAACTAATGTCATAAATATTCCATTGTAATCTATAAAATAAGAAATTTTTCACTGCCTCTCCCCTGAAGGTATATTATTGCATTTTCAGAGTTATAGCACAGTGATAAATTAGAGCTTAATGTTGTTGTGCCACTAAGCTAGCCAAGACTTTTTATAAACAATTGTCTAAATGTTAAAAATACAGAAAACTGGAGTGATATTGATGTCTTTCTTTCTTGCATTACCTTGGTTGTTTCTCTTTTTTCCAACAGACCAATAAAAGTTTTTATACTTATTACAATTTTTCAGCATAGATCATCTGAGTTTTTCAAGCAGTGCTTGTGAAAATTACCTGTGCCTTAGGCTCAGTTTTATAGTGAGCACAATATTCTAGGGAAACTCACAAACCTGCTCTTTGACACAAAGTGGCATAGAAGTGATGTTGTGCCATAAACTAGGAGACATAGCCCCAGAAACATGTTTCATTTTAGAACTGAAGTAGGCAAAGCATCAACCTGAGAAACACTGATATCAATAACCAGAATAAGAGTGAACATTAGCAAGCAAACTGTAGCAGAAAGGGATGTGAAGACACTTCAGACTTTTAATACTTACCTATATGTATAAAAGTAGACCAAATTCAGCTTTTGTTTTTCTGGGGTTTTTTTATGGACTAATTAATTTTATTAGAGAGTAAGTAAATTCAGCTGAAAATCCTAGAGAATCTAATGACTTCCAGAGATTCAGAATGAATTCAGCAATAAAAGCTAATTAGAAGGGAAATGGATGCCTAAAGTATCCCTAGTGTGCATAAAAAAAGAGTATAAAGACCATTAATTGAAATTAAAATTTAACAGTAGCCTAATGCTGCATGACATAAAATTCCATCTGTTGTGCAGAGCCACTAAACAAAGATACATGGGGAATAGTGCGTGGAGTCTCAGCTCTGCAGCCAGTCAATGAATGTATTTTAATGTCAGATCACACAGTGAGAAGTCTGATGTTCAGAGGAGTCAGTTTAGGGCGTGATAATTTCTGTAGCTACTGAATCAGAGAGGAAAAAACTTAAAAATTATGTTGCATTAGTGAGACATTCTATTTTTTAATGAAGTAGGTGGGTGTTCTTCCTGCTTTTTTTTACTCTTACAAGTGCAGAACAGGTACTCATGCATTTTAGTACATACAGGCTGTAAAATCTTTGTCCAAATCATTTCTTAGAGGTGCTCTGTGATGCAGGCACAGAAGCAGGAACAAAATCCGTGTCCTTCCTCACAGCACCTCATCTGGAATGTCACGGAAGTTTCTGCAGAGCATGTAGGGAAGTAAATGGGAGCTTTGAATAGCTTCTCCTGGAATGTCTGATTTCTTTTGCTGTCCACAAAATGTCTGGGATTGTCTTTTTTGTTGTTTGTTTTTTTAAGACTGATTAACAGTGATTGCTGTAACAACTTTCAGTGCACACATCTCTGGCATGAATTCCCCTGAAACAGTTTTCAAAACATGGACTGACCTATTGATGAAAGGTGGTTACATTGTACTTGCATTTCCATATTAGATGAACACACCTATAATAATTCCAAAAATTCCATGACTAGATACATGCAGCAACCAAAAAGAGTCTTGTTTGTTAAATGACATATAAATTAGTTTATTTCCAGAGGATTTATAATTACTGTGAAATTTCCATGATTTTACTTTCAGGCTTATGTGTTGGACTGGAAAAGCAGCTTTTCTGAAAGTGAGTCTAACAAAGCGATTGTATGATTCTTAGCACAACATGACTATGGACTGTGATTGTTATGTGAATATTGTGCATGCTGAATAGGCCATAATGTCAAATTAAATGCTATTTGAGATTCATACGGTACTTTTTCTGAATGCCTACATGTGCATGAGTAATTCAGCACTTTCATTCTGGGACATCTCTCAATGCAGAGCTAACAGCTACCGTAGAACACACACAGTGAAAGAAAATAAGAGGTTGCATGGAGAGTCTCCATCATGTTGTCTGGATTGAAGGGGAAAAAAGTCTTTTATACAAAAAAGTTATCTAAGCAGAGATCAAAACAAGAGTTGTCTGCAACATGAAATTCTTTGAGTTAGCAGGAATGGGAAGAACTACAACCAAAGAAAAATTAATATTCAGCAGTTTTAGGGGTATTTAGCTGAAAGTAGTTAAACATTGGATGAAGTAGCAGCAAAATAAAAGGGGATGACCTCTTTTTTGGCCTGAGACCAAAGTCCGCTACTGTTTTGGACAGTCCTTCTAATCATTTAGAATACACAAAATATAAGTGTAAGCAGGTTGCTAATGAGGATATTTCTAACTTGGATTTGCAAATTTACCCAGAAGAAGAGCAAGAAGTTTTTCACACAGAGTAGAAAAATACTATTATAGATTTAAATGTGCATATTTCTTGAGGGAGCCAGCAGTTAATGCAACAGTAATGATAAAAAATGATATTAAAATGCAAAGAAACAGGTGTATCAAGTTTTTGCCGGATTGGCAGTCACTCTCTTTGCCAGACAAAACCAGGTAATTCAACTGCAGGATATTCTGTGAGTTACAGAAGAGAACACCTGGAAGATGGGGCACCCAAGGCAGGAGGTGGGATAAAATTGCCTGCCTTGCATCTCCCTGCTCCTTCCCTCGCAGGCCACTCTGTGTATTTGGCTCTTGCTGGCCCATCAGCCTGTTCCTTTCCTCTCATTGCTCTTGCCCAGTGTATTTGTGAGCTGCAAAGTACTGCCATGGCTTTAAAGTTCGTGTGTTAATGAGAAATGGTGCATCTCTTAAGTCACTCTACACACATCTTTCGCTAAGCATCCCTGTAAGAACAATTCTCTGGATGGGCAGCTATTTCAAATATTTCCTAAAGTTCTTGTCATTGCAGCACTTAGACTTGGCATTTGCTAGAATATTTATCTAATTTTTGCTCTTTTGATATCAATATTTGATTCAAAGTACCTGTCACAGTGTTTGTCCTATTCCCAAAATGTTAATTTGGGATGAATGAGATAAATGGCTGGCTATGTATTCGCAGCAGCAAAGTTAGGTATTCACACAACCTTTCCTGACTTTTCAAATTGTGTTTAGGTAGTTCAATTCATCTATATGAAGCCTGTGAGACTGTGCTAAACCAACTGTCTTTAATTCTTCTCCCAGTAGTAATCTCCATCTGTAATTAATTGTAAGGTGCATGTATAAATAATATTGCCCATTAGTGAGATATCTGACAGCTTCCATATGCAAATGTCCTCTCTTTCAGCCTAGGTGTAATCATTATGTACATAGTATTTATAAACATATGGCAAATCATTTTATAGAATTCGTTTCAGTATTGCAGGATACTAGGGAAAAATATTGTAAAAGCCATCTGCATGCAAGATAATGAGGGGTGTGACAGGCAGGCTGCTAACTATGAAAATCCTCATATCTGCTGCATTGTTATTGAACTTGTCCTTTCTTATCATGCAATGACAAAATATGAAATTGTTACCCTTTACTAGAGCTTCAGCTCTTGAACCCTGGATATCATCAACATAAAATGGACACGCAGGTAAAGCTGATAAAGTCCCTTTTCTCATTTACTTTGCTTTTTAAAATGTACTGATAGATTTAGGTACTTAAAAAAATTAAAGAAAAATGAGATATTGCTTCAAAATTTGACAGCAAGGTAGTTAACAGCAGTCTGTCACATCTCTTCACAAGATTAATTTGCATGATGGAAGTATTTTCTGTGTCATTATCCAGAAGGAGAACTGCAAAATGAATACCAGTTTCCATGTTTTTCCCCACAAATATCTTGTATTGAGACATAGAAAACTTAATTGTCAAACTGCAAATAATCCCTAAGAATGAACATAAGTAGCAGAGTATTTCATCTCAAAAAAGTTGTAAACATGAACTGCACGTGCTTCTTGAGATATTGTGAAATTGGTGTCTATTGCAATACCAACACAAAAATCTTGTTTATCAAATAATTTTATCTTTAAAATGTTTATTGAATACTTTTAGATACCTGTTCAATTTAAATGTCACACACAGAATAATGCTTCCAGTTTTGACCTCATGAGTCAAACATACAATTTTCAAATCAAGTTTTTTTGCCTTTTTTATATACTTTGTCCTGGTGATAGAGCACTATTATCTGTGGCTGTAAAATGAAAATAATGAGATATTTTACCAAAAAACCTCAAATATCCAAAGCACCAGGGAGAGTTAGTTAGCATTTTTTCCCCACAGAAGAGGTAGTCTTTATGAAAAGGCAATCAGCTAGGCTGTTCAGAAGATTTATTCCAAATGAAATCTCCTTTTCTAAGTTTATTTTCTCCAGCTAAATCTACGGCTAAATTTGGTATACTCCTAAAGAGATTTAGATTTTATGCCCATGTTTTAAGGCAATTGAGAGACCCATGGTTAATATTTTTTAATGTTCTTTCCTGAAGCAATTGTGTTTGACTGTTCTTCCAGGAATCAATTTTCAGGGATACACAGTCAACTCACTTTTATTGCAACCCATTTCAGCCATTAAGAAGCATAATTTCAGCTACCATGGAAATGCTGATTAAATCTCCCAGTTTTATTTTGACATTTCAGCCGCGCCTTGACAACTAATTGCTAGTTTGGTTAGGCGTCAAAGGGGCATTGAATCTTTGGAGTAAAAAACAGAGCAAGACTGCATATCTGAAAATGATGGATCACACTCACCCACATTTGGGTCTTGCTACATCAACATTCACGCTTTCTTCGTCCTCTGAGCATGGTGGTGGCTAGTGACCAGTGAGAGAAACACTCAGATTAGATGGCAAGTGTTAACTTAAATTTAAGAGCAGCTTCTGACAAAGTGAGGTTTGGGCTGAGGGGCTGCTTATTGTTATGGAGAGGGGTTGGGAGAGGGAACCTCCCGCCCTCTGTGGGCGCCTTGGAAAATGGTCCCAGTAGTGCCCAGTGTGGAATTGCCCAGCACTGCTAGGTCAGATGAGTGCAAGGTTTTAAAAGTGCACATATTACAGGTGGGGTGAGAGTTCCCAGTTTGGCCTATGCTGTGGCCCTCAGGGCCTGTGCTGGGTCTATGCGGTGAGGGGACGGTGCTGAGGGGCTGCTGGGCCCCTGAGGGGAGTCAACACTGGGGCTGCCCTGGCCACTTCCAGCCCGTTCCAGATGGTTCCAGCTGGATCTGGCTGTTTCCAGCCTGTTGCAGCTGCCCCCAGAGCACAGTGGAGCCCTCAGCCATGGGCATGGTGCCCCAGGTGCACCTGCTGGAGTCCCACCCCTCAGGCTGCGAGGGGAGCAGGATGAGCACCTGGGAGCACTTGGAGGGATAAGTAGGGGTGTTGCAGCAGGGATTCCTCTTGGTGAAGGGGAGCCCATGTCAGAAACAGCTTTATCCCAGGGAGCTGGGCCCTGGGGGAAGGAGTCAGTGCAGAACCCTGATGAGAAAGGAGCTGCAAACAGGTACTGCTGTGTGCTGGGCCTTGCCCCAGTGCCCCTGTGCTGCTTGGGCAGGGAGAGCAGCTGGGAATGAGGGGTGGAGTAGACCTTGGGGTGAGAAAGGGATTCTAAGCTTTGTGTTCCTTACTACCCAGCTCTATCTTAATTTTAAAAAAATAAATAAATAAATTAGTGGGTTTGCTCAATGGAATGTCTTTGCCTTGGCTCTGCCATTCCCTTGGCAGGAAAAATGCAACCTGGGCATCCCTTACGGAGGGAGCTGACATTCCCACCTGAGTGCAACAAATGCTGGTTTAAGAATTGTTTTGTTTTCTTTCATTTCTCATAAGTTTTGAAGTAAATTTTCTTTTTTTCTTGAAGAAGGGAAAAAAGCCCAAGTCTGTATATTTTTTCTCCAGGTACTGTCATGAAACTCTTTTAAACTGCAGAAGTATTATTCCTGTCACCTGAGGGGTCTTGGGTTTTCTTTTATACATTTATCTTGTAACTACATGAATACAGGATGTTAAACTAGATTGGTATTAGTTTCTCTGTTGTGATAGTAGAACATCTTTAAAATTATTCAGAAAAGGTTTTGACTTGACTTTATCTTTCACTTTGCCTGCTGAGAGTGTGTTAGTCAATTTAAGAAAACTGAGAAAAGTGCAGCTCTATCAAATATTTCATGTTCCTCTAAATTTTTATCACTTCTGGACCAGACTATAATTGTGATAATATAATTCTGATATGTCTAACCTATTGCTTCATTGTTACTAGAGTAAGGGGTGAGGAAGTTGGAAGTTTGTTTGTTCATTTAGGTTTTTTTTAAAATTTGTTTTAAGCAAATCAGAAGTTTGATTGTTTGCTTGATGCCAGGCATTTGAATGAATCTGTAGTTAAATTGCAGGTTATATTTTGTTTGCTTCAGGTGGTCTGGGTCACTTTCTAAGATGTCTCTGTCAATCAGCACTGGAGTGCCATGGGTCTAAACATACTTGGGGTTGCATCCAACTATTTATTTTCCTATTTATTTATTTATTAAGTTAGTAAAATATTTTGCTAGGTTCTGTCCCACAGTCAGTGTTGAAGTCAAAACAGATGTGTATCTTGAAAATATGGCTATACTGATAGATGAAATTTTCTGTCATTCCTCAATTTATTCCTGATTGCTACAGCAAGTGTTTGACTTCATAGTCAATTCTGGCACCACTTTGTATCTACTTTTTATTGCAGCATTTGTACAAGCTAAGAAAATGCTTTGCATTTATGTGATCTGCCCTACTGTTCTTACCAAATAGTGAATAATCTCTAGTTAAACCTTACTTCCATCAGAGATTGTAGAATCATTAAGATTGGAAAACCTGCAAGGGGGAGTCCAACTGTTAACCTCAAAGTCTAAGTGAGATGTAAATGTTGTGCTTCTTGTCCAAGGCTCTGTAATATTAGTGAGAAATATGAAGAACTAATGTAAAAAAAAAAAAGAGCTCTGGTCATAATTTAATTTTTCAAAGCAAATTATAAGTAGTTTATGTATTTAACACAACAATATAGGCATTTTAAAGCATGGAGATGTTACTGATGTGATTTATTTCTTTCTACTTCAGGATTTTTGATAAGCCCTATTGCAGGAGTCTCACTTCTACATACATGGGATAAAAGGGGTTTTCTCTTAGCTGAACACAGCAAACACAAATAAGTCAATGCAAACATTTTGATGGCCTTAGAAATTATCTGATGGAGAGGGCTGCTAACTTAAATCTCCTTCAGCCACATTTTGAACCTTCCTGGCATGATGCAGTCTTGTTATTTGTATCATTAAATAATCTTGAGTACTGTGTGCTATGCTCTTGTATTAACACCCACTCATTTTTGAAATGGAACCTGCATATTACAGTAAAGTTGAAAGGCATATAGTCTGTTCTGAAACATGCAAAAATAATACCCTTTAGTGCTGAGAAGAATTAAGCACATATATCAAGAGGAGAATATGTCCTAAAGTCTAATCTGTCTAGCTGTTTTCTCTACAATAAATTGCATTTTATCTGAATCAGTGTTGTTATTTTTGCCAGTAGGTATTCTGAAACTTGGTACTATGAAAATTCAGGGCAACAGGAATTAAAGCTCTTTTTCAGAGTGAAATTTTGAATTTCTAGAAGCCTCACAGATTTCTAAACAATACCATGTGGTAAAACTGTTCCTTGAGCCAATACATTTATGGATTAACTAAGTACTGCTTGCTGTGTTTACACATACAAGCTCCCTTCAGATATTTAATTTACAAAATATTACAGGCTAGCAAATATTATATGAAGATTTGGTGCTTGGAATTTTTTACTTGAGTTGTAGATATATTTTCATTTTCTTGTCCCATTTGCTGTATGAGGCCTTTGACCACTTTGGGTAGCAATTTCTCTTCTCAAAATATCCTCAGTATGTTTACATCAAGGAATAGAATTTAGACAATGAAGATTAGATTCAAAGCACTAACATAGCTATTCTGTGGTTTTGGTGTATTGTTTTTTATCAGACAGTAGTAGTAAGTATAGATAATACTGCTGCAGCGCCACTGACCATATGTGCACAACAATTCTTTGCTGTATATTTCTGGCTTATAAATACCACTCCAAACTTCCTTTGATGTTAACTCTCAATGTTTGTTTCTGTTTGATTTCACCTGTCGCTTACCACATTTACCTCTGACACGATTTCTGCTCTGGGATGAACTTTCCACAAGGCAGTGAAATCCCTTTTCTAGATGGCATATATACTATATAAAAGACCCAGGTATCTGGATTTTAAATGTTTCCTAATGTTCTGTTTCACCATCTTCCGCCATCTATATGATCTCTGCAGGGTTTCAGCCCTGCATCAGAATATCTGATTTGTAATTTGTCCTCTGAATTAGGTAGTATGATGGCTGTAAAAAACTTGGGCAGTATATTGGTTTATATAAAATAGTCCCAAGGCATCTCCTTGTTGGTTTGAAAACCCCTGAATTCAATCACACTCATGCATACCCCTCCGAAAAATACCAGACTCCCAAACAGAAAACACAAAACATGTGTTCTTTGTAAAGCAAAGGTGGAGGAACTCCTTTCTGACCCAGCCTCATCCTTTTTGTCAGTTTGCAGTAACTGTAGTGTTTTAGCCAAGGCTTTCCTTTGTCTCTACTAATTTCTGAAAAGTGTTCTCTTAGAGGAGTATTAATCCCTTCTTCTCGCTGCACTCCAAAGGCATGTGCCTGCCTAATTCAAAAGGATGCATGTTAATCACTGTAGCTGGGGATAAAACAGTAGCTAATGATGAGAATGAGCAATGTTGGGTTATTGCTTGGAATAAGTT